TTTTAAAATACTATTGTAATTTTTAATACACTATAAATTGCTGCATAAAATCCACAGAAATAAAAGCTCTTTGGTGCCCTCAATAATTTTTAAGAGTGAAAAGGGGTCTTGAAACCAAAATGTTGGAGAACTATTATAATACAACATGGTTAGGATTTTATTCAGAGGATGATGGGACCCATTTGAATCTTGAGCAAGGTAGTGATAGAAGCTAACTATTGCTTTTAAATACCCATCTGACTGCAGAGTGAGAAATTGACAATAGGGAAGAAAGAGTGGAAGCAAGAAATGGTGTGAGGGTCGAGACATTGCACACCTGCAAGGCCCACACCCCAGTGAAGCCGGAACCAACATCCGGCTTCTGGAAACTGTTGCGTGCTCACCATGGAAACTGTTGCTTGCTTGCTTGTTTGCGCCAACTTTACATTGTTCGCACCCGTATAGTGGGGCTACCAGCCAACCAATCATGTTAAAGTTCAATGCATGATCCACGCGTGATCAGCCACTGCATAGCCTATGCACCATAGGGATAAAAGGCACGCTGCAACCCCGGTCGGGGTCCTTGCCTACCAGAGTGGCCACTGTGTTGGTGCTCAAGGCTTGGACCCTGGCTAGCCAGAAAATAAACTCCTCTTATGTGTTTGCATCCTTGGTGTCTCTGTCTCTCTGTTGGGTAGGGTGGTGAGAGGTAATCGACTCCCAACAATGGTAGAGGTGGTTGTTAGTCCAGGCAAGAGATGACTGTGGCTTGGCCTAGGATAATATAAGTGAAGGTTACAAGTGTCAGAATGGGGGTATACTTTGAAGGTAGAGCCAATAGAATGTGTCGATTAAATGGTTGTGGAGTATGAGGGGAAAGGGACCAAGACTGACTCCAAGGATTCTGGTCTAAGCACTTGATTGGATGGTAGTTAGAACACACCGAGAAGGGGAAAAGAGTCTCTAGGCACTACCATCCCTTTTCTCGCTGGAGCAAGAAGCTTCATGAGTCCGCCTTGCACTTTGAAAGGGTGCAAGGGGAAAAAAAAGGGAGAAATAAAAAAGCACTGGTTTAATACTTGCAAAGTATAATTGCCTGTTACATCATGTATAATCTAACCTTGACCATGTTAAAAAAAAAAAATATATATATGCATAGAAAAGTATAGAAGAAAATACCAAACTGTTAATCATGTCATCACTGACTAGAGGTTTACTAGAGGATTTTATTTTCTCTTGTGTAGGGTTTTATATCTTACAAACCTTTTACAGTGAGTGTTTATTATTTATATTCTCAGAAATAAAATTATTTTTGGAATAACTGCATAAGCTCAGAAGCACTACGTGGTGTCTGTGAACTTGAAGAGATCTCTATTTCAAGAGAAAGTATCCTCCCTTGAAAATATAAGACAGTGGAAAATGTGTTATCTACCAAGCATATTTTCAATCCTGGTCCATCTGAATATTTACACCTTTATAGAGAATTATTTTCTGCCTTAATAGTTTCTTCAACTTTTTAATTAAAACTTAATCTAGTTTACATTTGACTCTTCTGGGTGATAAAAAAAAAAAGGGTTCTTGAATAGAGATTCTGAAAGTCCCTGACTAATACAACCCCCAAAGAAGTGTCAGGCTAGGTTCAAAGTTGTTCCTTGTTTCCTATGTCCCCACACTTGCGGGATACATTAACTGCCAGGTTTTGGAGAAATCTAAGAATGAAAACAGATTTATCAGCGAAGGTATACATGTGACACTAAAATAAACATGGAAGAGATAGAAGGAAGTTCTCACTGCTGTTGGTGAACTTGGTGTCCTAACGAGCATGCCGTGTCCTCTGATTTGATAAGTGACCGACTGAACACCTTGGTCTGGGCAGCGGTGGTGGTCAGAGGTCAAGGTGAGAGGAAAAAGGGAAATGCCTCCTTCACACCTAATAAGACTCACTTTTCTTGTTTCCCTTCCCCACCTCAAAAAGATTGTCAAGGTAATTTTTTGGTTTGGTGCTCAGCTAAGAAAACACTCAGCCACTTTGCAGTTAAGACTTAGGAGATAGTTGCCTCTCAATCTCCGTCAGGGTCTTTAGAGTCAGGGAACATTGACCAACTAGCTTAATTATAAAAATAGCCTTTGTTCACCAACGTGGTCCTGTAGCTTCCTCGTGTCCAAAGCATTTACACTTTTAATACTTTTTCCTTCACAACTTTTACCTCTGGAATAGAGATTCTTCTGGAATATTCGAGAGGTTGAGAATGGTGTGACTGTTGCCCCATGGAGCAATAAGGGCAGGTTGGTGGGTTTCTGGGAAGCCTTCCTTTTCCAAGGGGACACACTCTGAGGTCTGTCCTCTCCCTTCTCCTGGGTCTTTCCTGGATCTAATGACTGGTTTCCTGTGCTAGCTGACCCCTAAGGTAATACGGAAAATTTATATCATATATGTAGGAAACTTGGGCCCAAATCTCTGCACCTACCTATCCCATCACCCCTAATTTTTGGTCAGAGTTCATCCAGCCAAGCCATCCTGGGGTCACCTTTCATTTATCCACCTGGCTTCTGCCTCAATGACCACACAGTCATTCCACAAACCTGAAATACTCTCCTTCTTCTGCCTGTCTCTCCCATGAAGGGTGTGTGAGTATGCTGTCTAGAAAGCAGGACTGTAACATAAGAGGAACGGTAGTCAGTTCTACTTACCCTGCCTGGATAAAGACCATGTGAACCAAATGGGGTGGCCAGTGTGAAGCATAGAAAAGAGAAACCAAAGGGTTATAAAATGATAATATTTGTTAAACTATATCCTATGAGGAATTTGGCTGAATGTGGATAGAATTGTTAAAATGTGTGTGTTCTGTTGGGATAGGATTAACTCACAGAGCCTCATATCCTAATAGAATGTCCTTCCAACTTATCCATAGTAACATTTGCAAAGTGACTTTCAAATTACTACATTAGGTTCCCAGCTACCTCAATATTAATAGAAGGCATCCCAGACATAAACACAAACAGTCCGGTCATAAGAAGCAAAAATCCCTTACTTTTAATAAGAATGCAATTTTTTACTGGTATTATGTGGATAGCATACATTGACTAGGTTGTGATAAAGATAAAAATAGAGAATATATGTAATACACCTGGTACAAGTTTGACCTATAATAAATATTTAGTATTACTCCTACCATTTCCCTCTCCTTGCTTCCATTCAAATTATAACAAATAAAAGATACAGAATAGTATTAGCCAGTTGATATGGAGTACCTGCTCAGCTCTCTAACTTGTTGTGTCCTTGGGCAAGTCATTGATCTTATCTGCCCACAAGATGTCTGAGATAAAGGGAGGGTTTGGACTAAATGGTATCTGATTTCCCTTCCATCTAAACTAGTAAAAGAGATTGAGTATTTGAGACTAGTCCTTAGGGTTTTATTCAGCCTGAGATTTAATTATTCTGTTCACTGATTTTTCTTAATAATAAACAAAATCAAATAATTTAGAGAAACTTTCAGGTTAACAAGGCAGCAAATTAGTACCTAACAGACCTCCTCTTAATTTCCTATTAAAACCCCCATGAGAATACACAACAAGGTAAAAACTGGCAGCTGCATTGTAAACTAAAGATAAGAGAAAAAGATGTCAAAGTTCAGAGGGACTTTCCACTAACTGCATCATTAATGGACAGAGATTGAGAAATATATTCTTGGATGGCACAAACACTACCCTTTGAACCAGAACAGCAGGAACAACCCCAAAGCAAGAGGAAGACTTTGACTCTCCCCAGCTGCTTGCCCTTGATTTCAGGACAAGGGGTTGCACTGACCAGAAAAATAGATGCCATCCCTCCTCCCCCAAAGTAGAATTATCATCTGAGCCAGCCAACGCTATATTCTCTCTTTTGTCCCCATCTGCAGTTCTTTTTCTATATCCGTTCAGAAATACAGAGGTGGCTGGGTAACAGTGTAATGAGTTCTAAGCAAGGGTGGCAACAAAAGGAGTACTGAGAACCGTGTATAGTAAATGTTAAGGGACAAAAGAAGAAATACTGTCTTTCACCTGCTACCATTTCACAGGAATTGCATTTCAATCATTGTCAGAAATCCCAACCTCTTCCATGAGATGTATGCTGTAGTTATAGGACATTTAACCCTCCTTGGCTAGATCTGGGAAGAAAAATCTACCAGCCCCTGAGCAGGCAGTGAGAGAGTCTAAGACCACATCACTTGCTCTGTTTATTGGTAACCCAATACTGGACCTATGAAATTATTCTGCAACATTGGAGAATGAGATATTTATACTAAAGGCTCTAGAGAGAGCTTATTTTTTTAAAATGATTACAACAAAAACAAATAGAACAATCCTTTATTTATAAAAAAATTACTTTAATGTTTTTACTGGCTTAATATTCTCAGGCTCTTTTAGTGTTTGGTGGCCATTTCCTGGTTGATGCTGCTCACATGGAATGTTTTGATCATAACTTTTCACAAAAGTTCTCCGAGACACTGGATTACCTAGTGTAACTATATCACCTTTAATGGTTCTGTCAACTGGCATATAGCAAGTATAATTTGTCAACTCTATGAATGAATGTATTCTTAATTTGAAAGTAAAAACCAAATGGAAATCCCTGTTGTGTTCAATACTACCTTAGACACAGTACAGACTATTGCCAGAGGATTTGGTTCTGCTTTCTCTTCAATAAGTCATGTTGAAAGAATGACTGCAATATATTGTAACCTGTTATATTATTGCAATCAAACTTGTGCTGGAGAGGCTTATGGTCTGGATATTTTGTTATAAAATAACAACCTGAATAAATTAAAGGCAATTCATAACTTTCCCAATTTTTAGTATACCATTTTGGTAGCAAATAGCTATATTTTAGATCCTTTATATCTCCTCCTAAATTTATAGGTATGTATAAATTTTATATATAAGAATATATATTTTATTTTAGGAATATATATATTATTTTAGGAATATGTTAATGATTAAGAGATTTCTCCCTTTTTGTGCTTTTCATGGTTTCCCTACAGGAATGCAGAGTTGGCGGCAGCGGCAGTCAGACCTAACACGGTCAAGCGCACACCTACCACGCGCTGCCCCAGAGTTTTACTTATATTATCTCTTACAATCTTCATGATCATTCTAGGAAATAGGTATGTAATCATCTCCATTCTACAAATAAGGAATGCAAATATGAGACATTTGGAAAATGTTCTTCCAGAATAGAAAATATATTAAGAGTGGAAAGGTATTGATTCATAGAATTCTGTGATGAATTATATTTTATGTATAACCAGGAGAGTTTCTACCTTAATTAATTACATCCAACAGCTATTTATTGTGTGCCCACTATGGACCATTTTCTAGGCAAGTAGGGACATAACAACGCACAAAACAGGTAATACCATCATGTGGCTTACTTTCTCCAATCTATAAATAAACAGATGAGCAGGTGAGGGTGTCTGTGAAGAAAAAAATAAAGCATGGTAAGGGACTTGACAGTTATGGGAAATAGCCAAGGATAATGAGGATGTGGCAGTGGTGGCTACAGATGGTCTTTCTGAGGACATGGCTCTTCAGTAGAGGACTCAGTGAAGCAAGGGTGTGAGACACAGGAAAATCTGCAAAAAAAAAAAAAGGGCACCAGACAGAATAAACTGCAGTTGCAAAGACCCTGGGATGAAAACAGAGTTGGTAAGTTCGAGGAATAGAAGAGGGAAGTGAGGCTGGATTAAAATCAGTAAGGGGAAGATTGAAGAAAGTTTAAAGAGGTAGTCATGGACCAGAGTTTTTAAGGGCTTTGAGCCATGGCAAAGGTTGTAGATTCTATTCAAAGGCAAATGAGGTGGCAAGCTTGCTAGTATTCCAAACCTCTGCCCTCTTCTTCCTCCTGGGTGCCTAGTGGAAGTGGTGTGCACTGCTCCCTGGACAGAACAAGGAAAATCATCCACCCATGCATCTCTATGCCATTTCTCCTTCCTTGCTCTTGGAGATGAAAATCTAGACAACAACTTTCAAATCCGTGGGTTGAAGGAGGGAAAGCCTCCATCTTCTGGAACCCTGATGACCATACTGGAAAAGTCTGACCAACGACTGGTGCACACACCCAAAACTGTTATGTGGGAAAAAATTAACTTTTGCTTTGTTGAGCCATTAACATACTTGGGTCTATATATTACCACAACCTAGTCTACCGTAACACCCCCAGTACTCATTCTCTCTCCTTTGTGCTATTGGAATAGAACTCTAAATTTCCAGCTTAGCACATGACTACATGGATTAAAGATTATATTTCTAAGCCTCCCTTGCAATTAAATGTGGTAGCATAACACTTTTTGGCCTGGATGATGTGAGTAGAAATGATATATACATTTTCAAAGTGGTGTCCTTATGGGAAGAAGCATGGCCTCTCCTTTTCCATATACTCCTGGCCTGAAAGCAAAGGTGGTGATGTTGAGCCATCTCAAGCCATGCAGACAAAGGTTACATAGTAGAACATACTAGAACAATAAGATGGGGTTGCCTGGGCCCCTGACCTAGAGAGGCATCATTAACAGTCCCTCTATCTTGTCAAACCTACAGTTATCTGGAGGGTTGATTTCAACAGTTACCTATATGCTAAATAATCTAGAAGTCATTGGGAGGGTTTAAGTAGATGAGACATAATTAAAAATAATCTGGTTTATATTTTAAAATTCTGGCTGCTGGGTGGAGAATAAACTGTAGGGGGCAGAGTAGAATCAGAAAGACTGGTTAAAACGCTATTGCAATAATCTAGGTAACAGAGGGTGCAGGACACTAAGGGAGAAAGAAAGGTAGGATTCAGGATATTTTTGGAAGATTGTGCCCGTGGTATCTGATATAGACTTGAGGTAAGGTGGTTGTCAGAAGAGAAGAAGAGAGAACGACTCCATCGTTTCTGACTTGAACAATCAGGCCAACCGGCCACCAACTGACATGGAGAACACTGGGAAAGAAGCAAGTTTGGGGAAGGAAATCAAAAGTTCTTTTGTGGTTGGTCATCCAAGTGTCAAATGGCATTTTATGGAATTTAGACATTTCCAGTTTGGAGTTTGGGAAAGATGTTGGGGCAAGAAATACAAATTTGGGGAAATCAAATTAATAAATGTATAACACAATGTACTAGACTAGTGTAATCTCAAAAAGCACTGATTACAGCAAGAATCCAAGTAAAATAGAATAAATATCATATTGGATTGGCCCAACATAACATTGAATATTTTCCTAATTAGAAACACAATAGGACTTAATACTCACACAGTATGTTTATTTTTAATTGGCATGAGGAACAATACTTGGTATCTACCTTTGAATCCTTCAAAATATTACGTAACATTTACAGGTGGAACAAGATTACTGGCATGACACCCAAGAGAACCATAGTAAATTGTCTTTTACTTATGGTTTTTAATCACATTAACTACAAATGCACCCCTGTCCATGTTGTGCTATTTGTCTCCCAAAGGAATGGGCAAGGCTTCATCAGCTAGAGTTGTACTTGCTGAAGAATAGGAAGAAATGGCATTTGCACCTCCAAAAGCACAAAATAGAAGAGGTATCTCCCACCCTTTGTGAGTACCTATTCTCTATAGTTGTCTATTTTTCCTGTGTGATATTAGTCTCACCACTTGTGTCTGGGAAGGAAATGAATTATGCTTCCCTGAGCTCTAAGACTCATGTAAAGCCTCCATGCACAAGGGGATTATCTATCCAGACTGAGTAACTGTTCCCAGTAATGCAGGTACAATTTACAAGGTCTGTTTAATATTTTTAAAATGGTTAAAGATGAATAGATGGAGTTTTAAATGGTGGATGACCCAAATCAAAATAGCCTATTAAATTGTAAGTGGCAAATTAATGTTGCATTCTTGAGTGGCAAAAAGATGTCCTATATTATTTCCAATTATCTTCTCTCTCATTTCCACATTCGATCCTGCCTTAATTACCTTTGCTACTTTATGTCACCTAAATCATTATGTCTCTGTATTAGTTTCCTAGTGATGTGACAAACTACGGCTGACTTGGTGACTTAAACAACAGACATGTATTTTCTCACAGTTTAGAGGCCAGAAATCAAAAATGAAAGTGTCAGCAGGGTGTACTTCCTCCAAAGGCTGGAGGAGAGGAGGCTTTCACGTCTCTTCTGCTTGTGGCAGCCCTGGGTGTTCCTTGACTGTGACTGCAGAGCTCTAATCTCTGCTTCCACCTTCACGTGGCCTTCTCTTCTCCTCTGTCTCTTTCAAGGACACTTGTCATTGACTATAGGGCCCACCCAGATAATCCAGGATGGTCTCATCTCAAGATCTTTAACTTAATGACTTCTACAGAGTCTATTTTTCTAAATAAGGCACATTCACAGTCTCAGGAGATTAGGACATGGGCATACCATTTTGGGGACCACCATTCAATTCACTGCAGTCTCAAACCTGGTCTATCACCAGAATCACCTAGGTAACTGTATAAAATTCAGATTCCCAGTCCCTATCCTTAGACACTCTGGTTCCATGGGCAGACTTGTGTGAATGTTTGTGATTTACAGTGACAGATGAGAACCACATCTGGATTTAAAAAAAAAAATCCTCTGGGTGATTCTGATGATTGCTGTCCCCCATTCTTTCAAGATCTTAATTTTTGAAAATGTCATTTTTATCTGTTATATCATCAATGCACTGAAATACCACATCTACAATATCACATTAATAATAGCAAGATGGTGCAGGGGAATTTCTGGGCTTGGGAATCAGCCAACCCTGAGTTTGAAATTTGGCT